ACGGGTTTCCGCAGTTTTACCTATGCCAAAGGGCCCTCTGGAAAGAAAACAGGACCTCTGAGGCAGCCCAAAGACTCTCTGCACAGGTAAGATCCACAGGACAAAGCACCAAGCACAGTGTCCCTCTTCCTGCTAGAGATCAAAACAATTACACAGAGGGTATTTCAGAGCAAAACCCATCTAAAACACGTCACTGACTAAGTCCATCCGTCTGAAGTTTTCTTTAAAAACACAGGCGCTTGAAAAGTTTTGAAAAATTAACATGCAGCACATGGGCTCTCAAAACCCTCAGCAAGCAACAAAAAGCACAAACGGAAACCATTTTAGAGCCTTAAGAAGAGTGCGACTGGACCAGACGAAAGGCCAAAACCTGATGGCCACACTGGCCGACCAAAGGGACGTCTTTGGGAAGTCCACCAGTTAAGACACAAATGTCCTCTCCTGGTGTCCTGGAGGCAGAAGGTGACCATCCTGACCAGCAGCCACTCCTCTATGAATTTCTCTAGACCCTTTTCAGAACTATCCAAGTCAGCGCCCATCACTGCCTCCTGTGGGAGCAAATTCCAATTTTAAAATTCTCCCCACTCCAGAGGTTGCTGCAAGCAAAGGCACAAGCGCAACGGCAGGGGAAAAGAAGCAGGTGCACAGCTCTTTTGCCCCGCAGCTGTGGGGTAAAAGGGAAGGGCAGTGTCTAGATATCCCATCTCAGATCATCGGTCCCAGGGTATGGGATGGAGCTAAGCAGGTCCTGCTCTGATCAGGGCCTGGATGGAAAACTGCCTGGGAGCCCCATGTAAGCATTAGAACTGGGGTATAAATGGAATAAACTCTGTAATGTGGGAAAGGAAGGTTAATGTGGAGAAGTCAGGAACAGCCCATCATGGTCAGAGGGCAAAGTGGCACCTCCTTCCACTGGCCCTGAAGCAGACTGCAGGATTCCCTGGTTAGGGTCTTGGCTACTCCGCGGGGGCCAACCCGTGGGGGCCCTGTGGTTGCTGGTGGGCTCCAACTCCCATCATCCCTGACAACAAGCCGTGCAGACTGGGGCTGAAGGCGGTAGGGAGTCCAACAACACGCCTGATGAGGAACGGTTGAGGGAGTTGGGAGTGTTTAGCCTGGGAAGAAGAGACTGAGCGGTGACACGAGAGGCATCTTCAAGTATCCGCCAGCGATGTTTCCATGCAGCTTGCTACAAAGTTACGGACGGGGCACGGAAAGGCAACAGAATGACAGAACCATATGGCTGGAAGGGATCCCAAGGGTCATCTAGCCCAACCCGCTGCAATGCGGGGGTCAGGGGAGGGGTGGTTTGAAGGATGCCTCCGAAACTTAGCAGCGGGGAAGCCCAAAGCGAGGGGGGTCTCCCAGCTCCCCCTTGGGTCTTCCTGTCCCGGGCGCCCAGACTGGCACCCGCCGTGAGAAGAGGGTGAGGGCCAAAAGGGGGGCTTTGGGCCTGATCCAGCAAGCAGGTTCTCTTCTGGAGGAGAACTGCCTCTGATGTCAGAGGGGACCCAGGGAGCAGGAAATCCGGGGGGGGGAGAGAGAGAGAGAAGCAGCGGGGGGGGGCTGCACCTACACGGCGACCCCAAAAGAGGGAGACCCCAGAAGCCCCTTCCTCCCCGACCCCTCCTGCTCCAAGCCCCGCCCGGGGGGGAGGGGTTGACCCTCTGCCCACCCTGGGAATGATGATGGGGGGCAGGGGGGGCCCTCGGAATCCCACCCCCACCCCCGCGGGAGGAGGGGTCCTGGGGGCGAGGAGGGGTCCAGCGAGGGGGGGAGGGGCTGGAGCGGTTGCCATGGCGACCGAGCCCTCCCCCCTCGGTGAGGCGGGCACCTGAGGGTGGGCCCCAGGCAGGCCGTGTCGGTGCTGTCCACCTCGCGCAGGATCCGCTCGTGCTCGGCCGCCGTCTCGGGGCTCTCCGGCTCCGCCATCCCGCCGCCAGCCGCTCCCTCCGCCCAGCCCGGCCGGACACAGGCAGGCAGCAGGCGGCCCGCCTAGGCCGCGCCCCCTCCCAGCCGTAGCAATGGCAACCGCGCCGCCCGCCCCGCCCCGGCGCCCGCGCAAGGCCTGCCGGGAAGTGTAGTCCTCAAGGGAGGCGGAGCTTCCGCGGGACGTCGCCGGCCGCTCTAGGCCGAGGGGTCTCTGTGGCGAAGCATTAGCGGCGCCTGCTGGCCAGGAGGAGGCGGCTCAGCTGGAGGCGCCGTGCGGACGCCGCGGGGCAGAAGCGGGTTTTGTGGCGGCTGCTCCGGATAGAGAGGCTAGGAGCTGAATGAGTGGCAGGCAGCCCAGGGCAGGAATGCCCTTCATTCCTTTATTCATGATTTATAAACCATCCTTCAGCCTGTTACGGATGTTACGGGGGGGGGGGGGAACATCTTTAAAGTTAAATATTACAAATATTATGCCTGAATGTATCCTTCCAACTTGACAGCTCAGGGAAGTCACCTAGCTTTAAAAATAATATAAAATCATCTCCTTTCCCAGTTCCCCCCATTCCAAAGCTATTTTCCCCTTGCAAAAGGACTCCAGGAAGTTCCCAGAGGTGACAATTGCTGGGCTCATTGTTAGCCAAGGGAAGCCAAATCTCATCACCTGACTCCCTCAGGCTCCAGACATGCCAAGGAAGTTCTATTGTACTTTTGGGTGGTGGGTACTTAAGACATATTTGTCTATGCTCATCTTATACCTGAGTCTTGCCCCGCCATGTCTGTGTTGGTTTCTATTTCCTTCACTGAGCAGCAACTGCAGTCACAAGACAGGTGTTTACATTCCACAGTCTGTACTGTTGGAGTTTCTCACGGGAAAGGGAGACTGGATGTGACGTACACTGGTTTCCTGTTTTTCACTGTGTGATTCTCTCCGAGCTGTTGAGGAGAGAGGATGCATTTCTCTGCTCCTGCAGAGGCAAGATGTCTTTCTGTAATATACCAGCTTTGAACTGTAAATAAAGCAATATAGAGTATGTATCACATTTTCCTCATCCTTCCGCTGGGCACGACAGACTCTGCTTTAAATCAACAGTCTGCTCATGCTAATCTTATACCAAGGACTTGTCTGGACCTGTTTCCCAAGGTTGAACTAGTGTAACCCCTGTCTACCCCTCCCCTTTTGTGATATGTCAGTGATGTAGCAATGATGCTGTACGAACTGTATTCTGGGATATGGTGGGAAAGATTTAGAAGTCCTTGCCACCCCATTCTCGGGGTTCAAATTTGCTCTTTGAACCTATTGCGCAATAAACTTTGGTCTACAGCGATTTGCTCCGGTTGGTGGCTGGACTCCTTCCTTTTTTCCGCAGGGACCCGTGGGCTCTGCCCAACGAGCTGGGGGACTGAGCAGCCTCACACCTAGATTTTTCCATAACAAGCCAAAGATGATGATGATTATGATGATGATGATGATGACGATCTGTTTCTATACCCCGCCTTCTTCCCTGACTGGCAGATAAAAGCAAGAACCTCCACAAACACAGGGGGGAGACCGAGGAAAATAACCCAATTGATAGAATGAAAATGGTGTACATAAATCTGTTGAAATCCTACACTGAATAGAAATGCATAGCTCCAGGTACGTAGCCGTGTTGGTCTGAGGCAGTCAAAATAAAAAAATAAAATAAAATAAACTGTCCAGTAGCACCTTATAGAGCAACTACATTTGTTCTGGTATAAGCTTTCAGTTATCTGAAGAAGCGTGCATGCACACAAAAGCTTATACCCAGAACAAACTTAGTTGGTCAATAACAGGCATAGGCAAACGTGGCCCTCCAGATGTTTTGGGACTACAGTTCCCATCATCCCTGACCACTGGTCCTGCTAGCTAGGGATCATGGGAGTTGTAGGCCAAAAACATCTGGAGGGCCGAGTTTGCCTATGCCTGGTCTATAAGGTGCTACTGGACAATTTTTTATTTATCTTTATTTTTTATTGTTATATAAACCACTGAGCCTCTTGGGCTTGCCGATCAGAAGGTCAGCGGTTCGAATCCCCCCGACGGGATGAGCTCCCATTGCTCAGTCCCAGCTCCTGTCAACCTAGCAGTTTGAAAGCACGCCAGTGCAAGTACATAAATAGATACGGCTGCAGCGGGAAGATACTGTTAACACTGTTTCCATGCGCTGCTCTGGTTCGCCAGAAGCGGCTTAGACATGCTAGTCACATGACCCGAAAAAACTGTCTGCAGAGCAGACAAACGCCAGCTCCCTCAGCCTGTAAAGAGAGATGAGTGCTGCAACCCCAGAGTCGTCTGTGACAGGACATAACTGCCAGGGGTCCTTTACCTTTACCTTTTAGAAATGCATAATAAAAGCTGGACATGCACCTGGCTTATAGCAGCTGGGATGAACATCAGTGGGGTTTTTTTTGGGGGGGGGGGACTCTGCAGCCCCATAGGAGATCTGCACCCCAGCAGAGTGTCTGAGCAGGGCAAGATTCCAGGGGTTCCAGGCATTCTCCCAGGGTTCGCGTTCCCTTTGGAAACGCAGCAGAGGCTGTGGCGTCTTTAGGATATATAGTTTATTTATACATGTACCACCAACCTGAGCATAGATCAAACACTGTGCGATGGCATCAGGACAATGTTGGATGGTCCACAAAAGCCAGATGGATTCCAGAACTATTGGGGGGGGGGGAGACACCTGCCGGTCTTCTTGGCCCCTCTGCTCCTGGCCGAGTTGGAGCTGCAGGTTGGGAGAACGTTGCTGCTGTTGCACCCAGGGCCTGCTTGGGGTCTTCCTTTCGGGGCACCTAGCTGGCCGCTGAGAGAAGACGATGCTGGATTTGACAAGCCATTGGCAAGGTAGGTCTTATGTTCTTGTGAGCTGAAGGTAGGAATAAGCAAGCTTGCTGATGGTACTAAATTACTGAGGGTCATCAAAACAAAAAGAGAAGGGGAAGAGCTCAAAAAGGACTTCTGTTGGCTGCTGTGGACGAGATGGGGCCCCTTTGGCCTCATACAACCGCAGGGCGCTTCTGAAGACAGGGCTTCCCAAACTTGGGTCTCCAGCTGATTTGGACTACAGTTCCCATCATCCCTGACCGCTGGCTGTGCTAGCTAGGGATGATGGGAATTGTAGTCCAAATCAGCTGACTTAAGTTATTGCCTTAAACATGACAGAGTCGAGAGGCAGACAACCCACCACAATTCCACACACACCAGTTTAGAGTAAGCCAAGTGATGATTTTATTAAGGAAGATGGGATGAGAAGAGGGAAGGAATGACTGGGTTACATGGCCGGGAAAACAGAAAGACATTTAGAAAATGGAGCCTCTATCTTGACGGCTAGTAGTATCTTGCGAACTGACTGAGCTCAGTATAGTCTCACCCGTGACAATGAACCTGAACGTCCAGCACCACTCTGGACATGTGGCTACTGTCCTGACCGCCTCTCTCTGAGGAAAGGGAGGTCCTTTTCAGTTACTCGTGACTACAGGGCAGAGAGTGAAAGGCATTTATGACTGCTTATTTCCTTGACATACTGTAATCAACTTTATGACTGTGCTTGCTAGTCAGAGAGCTCTTTCACCAGCAAACAGTCAGGCATCTCTCGTAAAGCGTTAAACAGCCAATCTGCACGGCTAATGTGGTCAGGCAGAAATGAAGCATCTTCCTCTGTTAAAGGCCAAATAAGCGTTGCAGATGGCGGAAGCATGCGAGAAATCGGTAGCAACACTGAACCGATGAATGCTGAAAGCAAAACAAAATTGTGTGGAACCAAACGCCATTGTCGCCCATGCCTCACAGGTCGGTCTCTCAGTACGGTGGGCAAGCTGCCTTCAGAATGTACAGGAGTCAATGCTCTCCTCCACATGCGCCCTCCCATCACGAGAGAGCCAGTGTGGTGTAGTGGTTAAGCTCATGGAATGGCTCAATCAGACTCACCAGAGACATCCCTAAAGAGCAGGAAGTAGAAAGAGGAGCCCTGCACAGAACGAGGGCCTTTCATTGCCACCCTCTGCGCTCCTCCAAGCGGCAGAACCTTTTCTCCAGCTAGACTTTCTTTCCTTTCAGATCCCAGCCCAACTGGTCACCTTGTGGAAGGACTATGTTGGGTTCCTTGATGCTTGGGACACCAAGGTTACGGGGAAACCTTCCACATCCCTACCTCGCTGTGTGTGGAGCGCAAACTCTTCCCAGGTGTTCCTCCCATCCTCCCCTCTTCCTGAGCTTGGAACCCTCCTCTCCTTCCACACAGCCCAGGCTCAGAACTTGGCAGATGCTTCCACAATATGCAAGGCTCTGAGTGTCAGGCCATGGCTGCTGCGTCCAGAGAGAAAGCTGAACACAAGTCCTACAGAGGCACAGTACAGAGCAGCAAAAGCCTAGGAGGTGCCGGGAGAAGAAGGGCTGGTGCTTTTTATTCAGATATCGTAGAAGTCAACATGGGCCCCCGATTCAAAGGTGTTTGTGAGAAGAAGATCCAACAGCTTCTGGGAGGAGATGTCGCAATCCAGCAGTTCCCCGTGTTCCTTCATGTGCAGGAACGTCTTTCGCAGCTCCAGGTTTCCAGATTTGGTGCGAGCCTCTTCCTGCATGTCCGTGTCCAGGGGACCTGGAAGAGAAGGCAAGAGGTGATTCCTGCATTGCAGGGAATTGGGCAGAACGGGTTCCTTCCAACTCTTCAGTTCTATGGTTTTATGATTCATGGGGAGGGGAGCAAAGGGCCCATCAGCGGACTGCCAGCGAGAGACGATGGAAAGACTGGTGACGCCGGAAGCCAGACCAGCTGGCAGACCCCAGACTCACCTGGCGCATAGCTGAGCACCCTGATGTCTGGCTCTTCTGCCGCTAGGACCCGGAACATCATGTCCCGGGCAGCTTTCCCAGTGCAGTAGAGGGCCCAAGTCTGGAAGGGTTTCAGAGCGCAGAGCGAGGAGACATTGACCACCGTCCGGCACAAGCCAGGCTCAGCTGGGAAGGCCTTCAGGAGGGAGGAGGTGAGGCACAGCGCAGAGGTGACGTTGAAGGCCAAGTAGGTGTTGACTTCGCCGGGGCTGGTGAAGTCCAAGAAGGATTTGGAAACATCGCCAAGAGAAGCTAGAAGAGAAAGAAGACCCCTGTTTGTTTATCCATAAGTGCTTCTTCAGACTCCAGAAGACCTAGACCAGCGGTTCCCAAAGCGGGCATTGGGATTCTGTAGGGGGGCACAAGAAGACAAGGTGTGACAGGGTGGAGGCGTTGGAGGTGTAAATGTATATCAGACTCTGAAAAGTTGTCACCACAGGATCAAGTTCATCCAGTTTGTTGAATAAATTAAACAAAATAGTTTTAAATATGCAATTGTCACTGTTTCAAATTGAACTATCTGTCCTAGTGGGCCATGCAAAGCGCTATTCTGACTGACGCTTTTATAGGATAGGGTAAGGAGGAACTGGGGGTGAGTTTGTGGAACCAGGGGGGCAGTGGCCCAAAAGAGTTTGGAAACCACAGAACTGGAGGATGGGAAGAAGCTCCCCATATCTGGGATAAGCCAAGTGGCTCAAAAGCAAAGCTTTTCAAATCATGCTGTGAGTGAGGAAAAGGCATAAATTGGGGACAAGAACAGAGAGGCAGGGAGGGAGGGAGAGAGAGCACATTAGGGCGCCACCCCAAACAGGATCACACAGAAACCTCACCCCTTTATACAGTACAGGCAGTGGAGCTGGGAGACCTGTGGCTGGGAGATTAGGGTTCTCAAAGGTGAGGTGGGGGCAAACTGCTCAGGGCAAGGCAAGGTCTGAAAGTATTCTGAACATGGAGGAAGACCTGGCTGAGAAGGACTAACCCTTGCAGGAAGGGGGGCACCACCATTAAGAGGCAGTGCAAAAGCAGAAGGATGTTTAGCACACATATACAAACACCCTGCTTATGGGTGAAAGAGGAGAGGGGAAGTGTTTTTGTCTCCAGGGGGGCTTTTCTTGCATGTCGGAGCTTACACAGCCAGGTGTGGTATCTCCCAGCACAAAGGGGCCGAGATGATCCGCGGAAGAGGGCGGAGTCTGGCACAAGCAACTAGGTGCCCAACGACCCCCCTGACTTGGAAGTTCCCAAGCGCTACACTTCCTCGTTTTCCTTCCCAGGAGCTGCAAACGGATCCGAAGTGGGGGCGCTTGAATCCGCGCGCTTCTCATCTCCGCTGCATTCCCACAGCAACAACCCCAAAGTCATGTTTGCTACGGACCTCAAAACTACAGTGGTACCTCGGGTTGCAGACGCTTCAGGTTACAGACTCCGCTAACCCAGAAATAGTGCTTCAGATTAAGAACTTTGCTTCAGGATGAGAACAGAAATCGTGCTCCGGCGGCGTGGTGGAAGCGGGAGGCCCCATTAGCTAAAGTGGTGCTTCAGGTTAAGAACAGTTGCAGGGTAAGAATGGACCTCCGGAACGAATTAAGTACTTAACCCGAGGTACCACTGTAATTCACAAGGCTCACATATCCCGCTTCAGTAACGGAATATGTGTCCACCGCCTTCTCTTCCGCCCTCGGTGTCCCTCCTGGCGCTTTAGGAAGCAGAAAAGCCACCAGGAACTTACAATCTCCCTTCCACGCGGAGAAAGAAAGAGGGAGGGGATGCAGAAATAAACGAGGGAGGGGGGAAGCAAGGACACCGTCTAGTGTGCGTTACGGCAGCGCGCGTGGATTTGGGGACTTTGCAAAGACGGCCACCGCTTAGCCCTTTCCCCGGGAACTGGCCTTCCTAAGGATGCATGCAGCCCCGGTCCCGCAGCTGCCTCCGGACCTGGAGGAGGAAGGCACTCTGCACGCGCTCAGGAGCGCCGCCCGCTCACCGGCGTTGTTGACGAGCAGCAGCCGCTCCACCGGCGCGTCCCCGCGGAGTTCCCGGGCGGCGCGCACCACGCGCTGCAGCCCGTCGTCGGAGGCCAGGTCGGCGGGCAGGCCGCGCACGCGGAGTGCCGGGCAGGCGGCGCGCAGCTCGCCCTCCAGCTCCTCCAGCGCGGCCGCCGCGCGCGCCACCAGCAGCAGCGCCGCGCCGGGGGCCAGCCGCGGGGCCAGCAGGCGCGCCAAGCTCCGGCCGAAGCCGCGCGAGGCGCCCGTCACGATGCCCACGGCGCGGCCCAGACCCGCCGCCCGCCCGCCCGCCTCTCCGTCCATGGCCGCTCGGGAAGCCGGCGCGCCACTCGTGCGCTTTTACGCACGGCGCTCCGAGGCGGGACCGCTGCAGAGACCCCGCCCGGCGAAAGGAGGAGACGCGCGCCGGGTGCTTTTATGCCCACCGCCTAGAAATGCGAAAAGCTGTGTAGCAAATACATAAATGCCCCATTGAGCTCTGGCCAGGCCAGAATGTGCTTAATCTCCTTGGCATCCGAAAGTGAAACGAAAGCGGCTGGCGGGCGACGGGTCCTCCGCGCCCTGGTGCAAATCCTTTTTCTTCCTGGCTTTGGCCTCGGATCAGAGCAAGCAGGAATGGGATGTGGAAATGGGCTGAAAGTGCGGGATAAGCAAATGATTAATGGGAAGACATAGAATGGCACTGCAGACAAATAGGATGAGCGTTTAGGGAGAGGTTGTTGCTGTTATTTATATTATTATTATTTGTATCTTTTAGATACAATTGTCTTTTCGATCGCAAATTCTGTCTTAAGGGTATGTCTGTGTAAGAATAGGGTGAGCCTGTGACCTGGCTCAGGAACTAAGTATTTATCATTACAAAAGACTGGCCAGGCTCCCCAGGTAATCCAACCAGGTGACCATTAATTGGTAACCTGCCAGACAGGAGATAACTCACTCAGATTTCTGTTGTAGACCGCCTTTTCTGTGATGTAGGTATGATGCATCTGGGGGGTGGTCTTGGGCTACACCCCTTCCGTGGTGTATGTATGATGTTTCTGGGGGCGGTCTTGGACTCCAGGGCAGGCAATTTAAAGGGCGGGCACACCTTGGTTCTGTGTGCTCCTCCTTTCCTGCGTGTGAGGGGAGCACCCTGTTGCAACAGTTTAATAAAGATCAGGCTTCTTAGCTGCTTTGCTTCTCAATATTCTCTGGTTGGCCTCTGTTATTTTCTCCTACCAACAGGGAACCCACTTAAGGACTCTCTATGGGCTCTTGGGTACCCCATAAGGGAAGAAGGGCAGATTTTGTTTACAACACTGTAGAGACCGATGTGGGAGAGACATGTGTTGTTGCAGCTGGGGCAGGTGAAGGCGCCCGGTTGTGCTGCTGCAGATGCGCCAGGGCGTCTGTTCTCTCTGCTCTCCTCCCAGTGGCCATTCCTCCTCTGGGCACTGCTGTGGACGCTCAACTTGACTGTCTGTTTGCAGGCACTGCGAGGGATTCCCCCAAAGAGGGATTGATGTTGCCAGACGCCATGTCTCGTTTGCAGACATTTTTGTGACGCAGAATGGGCCTACCAATGGGCCAGGTGCCTGAAGCCAGCAGGAACTTCTACCCGACTTTTCTGATTCAAAGAGTGACCTGAGCTCAGGTCGACAAACAGCAGATAAGGCCAAAGCAAACAAAGCTGATGCATAGAAGGTCGAGGACACATGGGAGGCCTTGGGAGCCAGCCGTGCAACGGTGCTGCCTCCTTGTGGTGACAGTGGACACTTCAAGACAGTCGATGTTTTCTGTCGCATCCCAGCAAATTCAGTTTGTGCAATCATAGTTGATTGGGAGGTCTTGCACGACAAACCCACTTCCCCAAAACATCCTGAAATACCTACATTGGCTCCCAGTACATTTCCGAGCACAATTCAAAGTGTTGGTGCTGACCTTTAAAGCCCTAAACAGCCTCGTCCCAGTATACCTGAAGGAGCATCTCCACCCCCATCGTTCAGCCCGGACACTGAGGTCCAGCTCCGAGGGTCTTCTGGCAGTTCCCACCCTGCAAGAAGTGATGTTACAGGGAACCAGGCAGAGGGCCTTCTCAATGGCAGCGCCCACCCTGCGGAACGCCCTCCTATCAGATGTCAAAGAGATAAACAACTATCTAACTTTTAGAAGACATCTGATGACAGCGGTTAGAGGTTCTATTGTGCTTTTCATTCTGTTGGGAGCCACCCAGAGAGGCTGGGAAAACCCAGCCAGATGGGTGGGGTATAAATAATAATTTTTATTATTATTATTATTATTATTAGACTTTTAAAATAAGGGAAGTGACAAGAAAATGTACTGGAAAGTGTGGGACAATAACTCTTGCAGCGGCACACCTTCGAATCTCGCCACAAGCAAATCAGGATGAATACTCATTAAACAGATTGCATGGAAGTGATGAACGAAACCCAACATCTCCTGAAAGGCAGAGAGGAAGCTGTGCGAATGGATCCACAACTGGCGACAGCAATGCTTCTAGACCCCAGTTGCTGGACTCCTGCTTGTGGGTTTCCACTTGGGGCATCTGGTGGGCCATTGTGAGAACAGGATGGTGGTCAAGATGGGCCCTGGCCTCATCCAGCAAGACTCTTCTCAGGATCCAGGACTGAGCTGGGTGGACCAGTCGTCTGATTCAGTAAAAGCTTCCTATGAATGGCAGAGAGAAGAACACGTTGAAATCTCAAGGAGACTGGAATGTGCTTAATTTTAGTGAAACATGCCATATGTCATTGTAACATACTAAAAGAACAAGGCGTGGTGTGGCATGGTATATAAAATGAATTAAGCTACTGTATTCCAAATGCCCCAACTATTTTCAGATGATGGAAATCATGTTTATCTCCCTCATGTAGCCAACAGAGGGCGCCGAGAGACCAGCCAAGTCCCTCTTGAGCCCGATGCCCCTGTTTCTGGCTCCAGCTGGTTTTCCAGCTAAGGCCTGACTGGGACAGAGAGGAACTGGCCACCCCTAGTAACCTCCAGACTGGACTGCTTCAGCATGCTCTTTGTGGGGCTGTGCTTGACCCAGAAACTTTGTTGCCTGTTTAATATTCTAGCCTTCCTCCCATCGGAGCCCAGGGTGGCACCAAAGGAATGAGATTAAATATGTGCTTAAATGTGATTGATAATAATAATAATAAATTTTTATTTATACCCCGCCCTTCCCGGTTCAGAAAACTGGGCTCAGGGCAGCCAACAACAAATTTAAAACACTTAATTGATACAACAAAAAACAGCATAAAATACAGTATAAAACGTGAATAACAATAAATTCAGAATTCAAAAATCAATTTAGGGGGAAATCCATCCAATAAACATTAAATAATCCCCAGGGCTAGCTGGCTAAATTAGTCCTACTTGGGCCAGCGAGGAGACCAGGGGAGAATTAGCTGTGGGATCCCAGAGCGGGTAATCTTCATAAAAGGGGAGGGGGAGGGAAGGAAGGGAAATAAAAGATCAGGCTGAATTCAAATTGAAAGCCAGGCAGAATAGTTCTGTCTTACAGGCCCTGCAGAAGGAAGTTAAATCCTGCAGGGCCCTAGTCTCATGGGACAGAGCATTCCACCAGGTTGGAGCCACCACTGAGAAGGCCCTGGCCCTGGTGAAGGATAATCTGACTTCCTTAGGGCCCGAGACCTCTAAACATGGAGGGAGAGGGGGGTAGGAGAAACCATGTGCACCACTCAGATGGGGGGATATAAATAAATATACTGAGCTGCTGATGGGTGTCAGAAAACTCTTTCTCTTCTTCTTTGGTGATCCCTTGTAGCCGAGTAAGATGGTCTTCCTTAAACACAGTTTTAAAAGTGAGTTCATAAGTCACTGTGGATTCCAATTCTGGACCCACACATCCTTCCACAGTGGGGACATTGGTTCCTAGGTGGGATTTGATCACGGTGTGGATTTGCCAAGTGTGCCTTCCTCTTAGCACGTTTCTCCCTTGCGTCCTGAATTTCAGTGTCTTCAAAGCCCAGGACACGTTTGGTAAAGGCTGTTCTCCAACTGGAGCGCTTGCAGGCCAGTGTTTCCCAGTTGTCAGTGTTTATACTACATTTTTTTAAAAAATTGCCTTGAGAGAGTCTTTAAACCTCTTTTGTTGACCACCAGCATTACACTTTCCATTCTCAAGTTCATAATAGAGTAGTTGCTTTGGAAGACGATCATCAGGCATCCGCACAACATGACCAGTCCAACAAAGTTGATGTTTAAGAATCATTGCTTCCACACTGGTGATCTTTGCTTCTTCCAGTACACTGGTATTAGTTCACCCAGGTGATGTGTAAAATCTTTTGGAGACACCGTTGATGGAATCTTTCGAGGAGTTGGAGATGGCGTTTCTATGTGCTGCTGTTCCCCCTCTCAGCACCAGAGGGAGATCTTGCCTCACGGCTGCCCTGTCTTCCGGCACCTGCAAAAGCAGCCAGGTGACCAGAAATTGGGGGGTGGGAGGCTGGAATGGCTTTCTCATGACCCATCTTCATGACTCCCATGCCCCATTGGTGAGGCCTGCCCTCTTCCCACCCTTTGGGGATCCGTGAGTGCTTGTGAGAAGAGCGGCTGCTTGCAGCTGCTTGAAGAAGCTCTTCTCCAATAGAATGTGGGGGAGAGATTTATCTTCCTTGGGGGAGCGAAAAGAACAAGGTGTCTGGGGTGGCTGCCTCTGGTGGGAATGGGAATGCCTGTCCCCTGCCCAGACCAGTCTTTGATCTCCCCACCCTGCCTCATCTCTGTTTCATCAATCATTTGTTTCTCAGCATCAGCCGAGCTGGTTTAGCTTGGAGAACAGAAGAAGAAGAAGAAGAAGACCCTGCTAGATCAGTGGCAGACCTAGTCCAGTGTCCTGGGCTGGTTGGAGGCAGAGGAATGGAGACACCAGCTGGGGAACCGCCAAGGGAAGAAGGCTCAGAGCCTGGGGCTTTGTGGTAGGACAACAATGAGTGGTCAGAAGGGGGAAGAGAGAGAAGACTGGGAAGAGGCGGTGTTGGGAGATGAAGAGAGAACAGGGCTTAGCGAGCTGGGAGAGTCTGTGGCAGAGAGAAGTCCAAAACTAGAGGCAGAAGCAGAAGCAAGGAAGGAGATTCCGACTAAACACCAGGAGAAACTTTCTGATGCTGTTTGACAGAGGAACGGTCTCCCTTGGGAGGTTGTGGACTCTCTCCTTCCTTGCAGGCTTTTAAGCAGAGGTTGGGTGGCCGTCCGTCATGGATGCTCTAGCTGAGATTCCTGCATTGCAGAGGGTTGGACTAGAAGACCTATGAAGGTCCCTTCCAACTTTATAATTC